TGACCTTCTGGTTCCAGGACGACTCCCCTAACCACTCCGCCACAGCCGCCCCATGTGGATGCCTGTGTCTAAAATGTGTTGGTTGTCTTTCATACTGAAGACAAACACGTAGACGGACTGTCATCCCTACATCACACCATCAAGTCCCAATATTTACGTACGCTTTTATGTATTTATCATTACTGATCTGTCACTACTTTGATTCCTAACTCAGGGGCTGACACACGAGTGACTCTTCCCCGTCAAAAATTACATAAAATGGCACGAAAGCATCTCAGATCCAGCTAAAAATGTTTTGTGGAACAGAATATTGATGTCTAAAATGAAACCATAAGTTCATTTGGTAAATTTATTTTGTATTGATCGTTACAGATTAGTCACTAACTCACTTGGTGGTTTAGAGGCATGATGGCATCTCACTGGGCTGTGACTAACATAACAGAAAAAGTCTCCCAAATATCTTCACAATGACTTGCACCTCTTGCAGGGTTCTTTACCTCCTTGTGTGAGTTGCAGGGACATGTAGCCGCCTACCACAAGCCGTGCGCAGAAACATGGGCTTTGATTTTCATAAAGCGACTTGTTAATCATACTCAGAATTTAGTGAGACTAATGAAACGTTTAACGGTTTTCTTTCCTCAATTTTGAGACGACCAGTCTCCAGCAGTCATCACTCAATAAGGTACTGTTGACTTCAACCCCTCATGCTGCTTCGACCCTTTCATAAAACACAAAGTGATAAGAAGTCGTGTCAAACACGGCTTAAAACCGTTCCGCACAAAAGGTTGTTTGACGTAACAATAGGACGATAATTTGGCAAATTTCTTAAAAGTGGTTGCCTGAAAAGTTGCCAYAATGTCCTTGCATTTTACAAATTAGAGCAACACATCCAAAATTACTGTAAATAATTTTACTGACAGAAGTCTCATCTACTGTTCAAGGACACATGAGCGAGACGGTCACATTGTGACTTTAWTATAATGGAGTAGTCTCAGATGCATGATAAAGGTGCATCCTGTGTTTTGAGATGATTTTAATGAGCAAAAGAAGTCTTACTCTTTTCCAAAACATTATGTGGCACTAGTTAATTAAACCGTTTCAGCTGTTAATTAAATTAACAACTGAAGCTAACTACTAAACGATAATTGTGGTGTGCTTGGTGTCAGATTTGTAAGGTTTCGAGTTTCTAACACATTTTGGAGARATATTTGTTGTGTTTTCCAGTTTCTGGTTTTTACCCATCTTGTCAAATTGCATTTTTTATTAGTACTAAATGTGTTTATCTGTCTGATATTTTTATTAAGTAGGGGGAAAAGCTTTTAAGAGAGATGACACACTTTTATTTGGTTACAAGATTGTAGTTCACAAGTTATGTCACTGTGTTCAGCTTTATGTGAGCTTTCRTTTTCATGAGTTGTTGAAAAGGGGTTATTTATGGGCTAAAGCCGTTACAATCTTACGCCAATTCCTGAAAGCTCCAAAATTAATAAATCAGATGTTACAGAACACAGTATTTCAGCAGATAAGATTCACATAACACCGTGTCCTAGATTCTTTATCATGTTGAAGATGCGTTGTTTGACACACGTGAGCTTAATGTTGAAGACAGACTTTTCYGAGGAAGGCTGAGTGCAGATTGCTCATTTTAAAATTCAGCGTTCCTAGATTACCGTAGTTGACATGCAYCTAGCTTGCAGCGTGTCTTTATCATGTAGCCACGTCTGTCAGTGACTGTAGTTTGTGTCATGGGCCTGATCAACACACGCTGCTAGTGCTAATGCCAGAAGTTTGTGTTCGTAGAAACTGTGTGTGCGTGTCTCGTGTGTATGTGTGTAATAGGGGCACCACAAGTGGATGACTACACCTCTCCATTATGACTCATGACCAGATTCCTCCTGTGGCGTAGCTGCCATTCTACCGCACACACATGCAGATAATTAACGCAGCACACACACGTCGTAAAAATAAATGCCAATTAATAATTTATGGATCCACCAGTCTGTCATGCATTTTTATAAATTTTACAGTGGCTCTGTCACAGTTTGTGAAGCTGGGAAATGGAGCGCCACTGTCAGCCACGGGTCAGACTGAGCCAGCATGTGTGCTGCTCTGAGGCAGTTAGAGCTGCTACGATCCCACCTAGATCATCCATCACTGCCATGGATGAGGATGCTGAAATTAACTAGACTCTCATTGTTTTCCCCCCGTCTAATGCTCGCAGCCTCTTTCTTTCTCACTCCCTCTGCGTATCGCCTCGGCCTGCTTCTTTGCTCTTTGTTTGGTTTGGTTTTCTCCCGTTTGCTTGTTTTTGAGCTTTGCTGCGTTGTTTAGCCTCTTCTTTCTTCTCTGCTCTGACTGCTGTTTCACCTTCTTCTTGCTATTGAAAAAGAAAATGATTTAGACATTGTGTCATTAGTTTATCCATTTTGACAGTGTGGTCTAGGAACTTGTTTGTAAAATAAATCCAGTCGCATAACAGCAGTAGGCTGTGATTGGATTTGTCTTTTTCACTTTATTATTCCAAAAAGGAAAAGTCTGTTTATTAGATTTTTTTTGACTTTTTGTTTGGTTTTAACATAGATTTTAAGGAAGGCAGAGTTTTAACAAACACAGGCAATTATTTAATAATCTATTTTTTTTTCAGAGATACTGAAAAATGTATGCCATTGTTGATAATGTCAAGGCTTTTCCCTTTTTTTGGGTGGCAGACACCAGATGCAGCCAAACAAGCAGTTTTTTTTTTTGCTTCACTACTGTCAAAGGAAACACTTGGCAAAGATGCTTCAGCCAATTGAAATATTAAGTAGCATCAGCCTTGTCAATTCTTCCACACAAGACAGCCGCTGACCTCTCCAAGAGGGAATCTAGCAGGTTGATCCTTTTATATGGTCTTTGCTTAATGGCCCTCATCACTTCCAGACTTGGCCAGTGAAGTTTGAAGAACCCTTGACAGGAGGGGAGCTCCACTCCTCTCCTCTTGTAGCCTCTCTTCTGCTCGTCTCGTCACGAAGCCCCAGGCAATCTCTTAATTAGCCTCCCTAATTAGGTGCTTTCTGATTCTCTGGATAAATTTTCAACACATTCTGCTGAGGAGCATCACTTTCTCCCATTTGCCTTAGAGTTGCTTATGAAGCAAGAGGTGTGGTTAATAGATGGAGGTGCCTGAGCTGTAGACATCCCATTCATGTGCCACTTTTACTTGCACTTTAAAAACTGCTAGGTAAGAGCTGACTTTTGAGGAATGTTTAAATTCATCACAAATGCTTAAGTAGTGTGTTAGTGTCTGAGATTTTTCAGAATTATTAATCATTTGTTCTTACTTTCCTTATCCATTATTGTGTAATTAAGACAAAGTAAAAATGTAGTTATCGTCATCCTCAACTTTATTTATAAAGCATTTTAACACCAGCCACTGCTGAAACAAAGTGCTGAACATCAGTAAATAAAACAGATAGTCATTAAAATTAAGTAAAATCAATCTCAGTTGGGTTAAAGGCCAATGAGTAAAAGTAAGTTTTCAGATGGGTCTTAAAAATGGACAGTGAGGGGGCCTGTCGGATGTGCAATGGTAAAGTGTTCCAGAGCTTAGGGCCACAAACAAGTTAAACTAAGGGTGGGCAAAATCCTATTGCATACCAATAATCATCAGAAAAACTGTCAATTACCATTTGCCACTTTGCAATTAGTGCCTGTGTTGACGTATTTTTGTATGCGACACACTATCAGGCTTGCATGTGAGTCCAAATGCAGCARAGAGCAGCCAACCCTAACCCTACAAATTTGTTTATTCACTTGAGATGCGGACATAAAGCGGAGTACGAGGAAAGCCAGAAAATGCAGACCAAGGCCACAACGTTCGCTCCATGCAAATGCAGTTGTCTATTAATCATCATACTTATCATTATGTGATAAATAATACAATTAATCATGATAAATTTTTATGCCAATATTGCCCAACCCTAATTTAAACCTTTAGTAATTAATTTTTATCTACAGTTGCAGATTTTCTTTGTCCCTCAAAATAATGCATGTAACATCAGGGCAAAACCTCTTCCACTCTGTCTGTGATGTCTGTTTTATCTGGGAAAGTCACTGAGTTAGCTGGGAACCATTTTGTGGCATTTATCATTGTTTTTATGTCTTGTCACTGTTCTCCATGTAAATACAGACTTATAACTGATCTCTTTTTGCAGATCACACCCAAATACTGTATATGCAAATTTCTTTTTGTAGACTTGGTTTGTTAGGACATCCTAATTGAGTTCAAAGTTTCTTATATGTTAAAGAAAACATTTAACATAGTGTTTTTAATGTGTGATTTTCAGCACACCACTAAATTTGCTTGCAAGACACAGCTACTTCTTTTTTGCTGTTCTTATTAGGGCTGGGATTTCCCAAATCGATTCGATTCACAGGGGCCCGATTCGATTCACAACGATTCAGGATGATTCACGATTCAGTTTGATTTTTAAATTAATTAAGGATATCAAGCAGTAACACATTTACTTTGGTGTATGTAAGACATTGTCAAAGGAACTAATTCTGTAAATAGAAACTAATTCTAACTTGGTGTATTGGTAAAATTATAAACATTAAGGGCAAACTTGTAAATTGGAGTTTAATCTTGAAACAAAACTGTCTCAAGTTTCAAAGGGTTTAAACTAAAAAGGAATTGCAAGAGAAAGATTTGTTGGATACATTAGTTTAAGAAACTAAGAATAATTTTCTTGATCATTAAGAAGTGATGGAATAAGGTTACAGGAGAAGAGGTGGGATAATGTGTTTACCCACTCTTTTGAGATAATTTTATATTTGTAATGTTTCTGTTAGTTTCTGTTCAATAAAACTTAACAAGAAGAAAGAAAAAAGTACTTCAGCTAAAACATTCCGTCACTGAATTACATTACGATGTTTCTAAAATTTATAAATAATTTTAACAAAGCTAAACGATTTTGTTAGACTGTCATCTTTCACACATTTATACATGCAGAGAACAGTTTCAGTCAGATGTTTACATAKTGAAGTTTTGGTTCGAGCTGCTCGAAGATTCGTTTCCCTCTACCGTGTCCGAGCACAAATCTTTGCAAACAAAAGTTGTCAAGGCCTCTGTTATCTTTAAGTTCAGCTGAGAATCATCTGTAATGTTAGTGACTCCTTTGTTTCTTTTGTTTTGCCCCAGACAACTTGTTGTCGGGAGCTAATGTTAGTGATCACCATCAACTGGCTGTAAACCTACGGCAAGCCAGGAGTGACACACAGCATGGAAACGCGCAGCTTTATCACACACAACACCCATGGGGAAAAATCGATCTCATGACTTATGAATTGATTTTCCCAAATTTGAACGAGAATTGATCCAGATCGATTAAATAGATTTTTTAAACCCAGCCCTAGTTCTTATTGTATTCATGCAAATTATAAAGATCCATTGAGTTGAAATACACCTATTTTGTATAATCACAGTGTTGTTAGATCAAATGATGGTTGTTTCAAAGTAGTTTTAAAATGGTGATTGAGCCGCAGTTGGCAGAGTCTACTAACTGGGCCACCAGGTGAATCCTGGTCTATTATATTTTCTCCTCTTGAAGTTGTGCGCTCACTCAGCTTGACTCTTTCATTGTTTACAGACATGCCCATATTTGGTCAGTGTCCCGCACAGGACGACTTCTACCTGGTGATGTGCAGCCACTGTGGTCTTGTCGTCAAACCACAAGCCTTCCAAGCACACTACGGTAAGTTTCATTCCCAAACACAGGCAAATGATTTTGTATGCACATTTTGAAAATATCTCAATCTTTTAACATCTGCTCTAAATAAATATTACCCTGTTCATTTTYCCCTATTAATCATGAAATATATCAGTGTGATGATTCCAATATACAAGACCTTTTAACAAAGAAAGCTCATTAATGAATGCTACACAGGTTTAGTCAAACCGGGAGTTTTTTGATACAAGTTACATGGAAAACATAATACACTGAATTTACTTGTGACATCGCCCCCAGATATAAGTGGTGTTTCTTAATGTTTTTTGTTGATGCTTCCTGAAACTTTAGTTTGAAGCAGATACTACACAGATATTAGTATTAAAAATGTTTGTAGCCCTTAGTTATTTTTAACGCAAACCACAGTAGCGAMAAATTGTTTGAGACGAGGCTTATCTGACCGTAACATTAAATGGTTTTCATCTAGACAAACYGGCCACTCCAACGCTTGCTTGTGGTTACTTTTTTTACACTGGCATCTTTTTTTTCTGTCTTTGTACCTCTGCTGCTTTTTTATATTCGTGCCTTTTTTTAAAAACAATTCTGGTTTTTAACAAATGCGTGACATATTATACAGCTATGGAGCATAGGTTAAAGTGATTCTTGGAAATTGTCAAATATGCTCAAACACCTTGTGGACGGGCCACTTGAAGGAAACGTTTTGAGTTGATCCTAAATAATGTTTTGAAGCACTTATCTGAGCAGTACCAACAACTAATGATGATTTGAGCAGAAAAGCTCTAAACTTAAGCTACTTTCCTTGCATGTTAGCAAAGCAATTTTCAATATTAGCTGAGAAATCTTGATACCCCAATATGGTTTGAATGTAMTTTCTAACGATGTCAAGAAATTATCATTAGAAAATGGTAAAAATAGGACTCAGACTGATTAGCCGTGTTTCCTTCCAATTTTAATTCGGATTTTGAGCGAGTTTTTTAAATTTTGCAAAAAGGAAAAAACAAAGAAATGAGAATCAGACGTGTTTCCATCAACTGGCTTGAAGCGAATCAGACGCATGTGTGTGGTAAACAGGAAGTAAAAGTCACATCTCAGGAAAATGGAGAGAAGTTATCAGGAACGTGTTGCTACTGTCGGGAAAGTTGTACTTATTCTGTCATCAACTAGTTTTGGCGATTTTACATGCYGTCGGGAGACGTAGAGAAAGAAATGCAATTCTTTTCACGTTATGGGAGTAACTGCGAATACGCCAACAGCGAGATGAGGGCCCAGCTGCAGTCACAGGTGCAGTCGCTCTGGTACCGGGACCGGTTTCGGATAGACAGCGGGAACAGCTGATCAGCATGTGAGGTAAATGTTCACTACGTCAGAACTGATTTGAAAAATGTGTTTTCATCTCTCTTTTTGCACATCAAKTCTTTTTCGAAAAACCCAAAAACCACCTCAATCGAGTGTATCAYCTTTGATGCGAATTAGAGGAAGTTTTTTCGAATCAAGCCATTTTCATTCACCTTTTCTGATGCGATACTTCAAAATGRGCATTAAAAAATCTTGATGGAAACACGGCTATTTTCTAGGGATCTTTCGGATTTGCAAGACAAGTCATATCTAGAACCGCTCYTATCAAGATTATCTCGGTATCAACATGTAGCTTAAAAGCCAGGAATCTGAAATTGTACTTAATCTTATTTGACCAAAATATGACTTAATCCCTAATTTTCTGTGATGGTCACAAATGCCTGTTCCTAACATGTCAAAGCTTTAAACAAAGACCTTGACCTTTCGTCAGTTAGATCTTGGAGTATAATGAGGGTTATTCACAGCTACTACCCCATATTTGAACTTAATATGTAGGCAGTGATTATGTTCTGAGACTGTCATTCAAATCTGTCCTGTCGGTATATTTTGCTAACAGACAAACACAGACAGGTAGTTACATAATAGCAATCTGCCAATAAAGGTTTTCCTTTCAATTGCTCCCTCCTTCAGGGGTCCTCACATTGAGAATAAATGAGCTCAGTTCATTATGACATGTCTTAAAATTTCTAAATTAATGAATAAAAAACTTTTTCATGATTCCCTGCCTCTTGGTAACTTATGTTTGTAAAGCATTTTGCTTAAAGAATTAAAAAGCTCAGCTCCAATCAGATCAGATTTTTTTTTTTGCCTGCGTTGATACATTATGGCTGGAATGTGCACAAATGTGTTTRAGTGCATGAATTCCCACCTCTTGATGCTTAAGTTGCATCTGTGACTTACCATGCCAAACAAAATTAAAAATCTGTGAGTATACTGATTGCATAACTGTTGCTCGTGTTAAACTGAAGTGTTCACTGCGAAGTCACAAATCCCACAGCTGATGGAACAAATAAGATGTCTCTGCTCCTGAACTCCTCTCTGTGGAAAAGTAAATTTGAAACACCTACACTGTCTTGCTTTTTGTTAAAGCRATATTTATTCTTGTTCACTATGTAATGTTTCAGACTTTGTAGTTGGAAAAAGATGTTTGTCTCTTTCAAAGGTGTCAGCGGTTATATTTGTCAAGGTCAGCCACAAGAGGGGGATGTAGCTGTATGTTGGCTGCTGGAGGAATTGTCTTTGCTGTGRCAATAAAGTCTGCTGGTCTCCTCCCACATTGTTAAACAGCATCTCATGTTTGGAGCAGATTATTACTTATGTGCTGGAGCACCTCGATTAGGTTTTAGACCTGCCAGGGGATTTTTAATTGAGATGTGGAGATGAACACTGGAGGGCCATACCCTGCCAGTAAAGAAAAATGGTGCTGACAACAACACAGCAGGTGATGACGGTTTGATCATGGTGGTGATGTTATACTGACTCAAAATCAGATTCATAGAGAACAGGAATCCCACAATGAGTGGTGATGATTTTACAGTAATCTCAGTGCTTTTATCATTTATTTCAGTTGTATCTAGGGATGGMTACCGAATTTGATACTTTTTTAAGTACCGACCGAATTCTGTCAGTACTACCGAGAAACTATTCACGTAACATCAAACAGTACCATGTTTCGGTACCTAAACACATCATTGTGACCGTATTGGCATAAGAGGGGGAAATTTTCCATGCTTGTCCTGAACGCAGCATCGCGCAAGAGCGTAATGACGTCAGCAGCCGCCTGGTTCAGTAAACAGAGTTCGGTGTGAACGTAGCTTGAAAGCCTTGCAGCTCCTGGAGTAAAACTCACCGAACAGACCACCTCTGATTTATCTGGTGGATTAATTATCTTGTGAGAACGGCGTTCACTTGCTCAAAGTAAATAAAGTACCACCACTTTCTTTATTTCATCCACAATTAAACAGAGACCAGCAGAGGAAAACAACAGAGGTGCTTCCTGACAGTCCGAACACGTCTGACCTGAAGGAGCACAAGCAGCCAGCTTGAAGCGTTGGGCGTGTTTTTGGATGCTCACAGCATTGCTTGAATACATTTTATTTACTTTAACTCTATCCTCTTTTGCTTATTTGATTTAAACTTATTTGCCTTCCACGGACCTCCATCACACAATTTTTCTAGCGGGGAAATGACATCAACAGAAACACGTGGAGCTGGATTTTAATCTGCACAATAAGACAAAACAGTCTTGTTGTTTTCAAGAGTTTTCACTTTAAAGAAGTTTGTTAAACAACTGATGTTACAATACAGAGTTGGATGTTGTCTTGATATTTGTTAAATTTTATATATTCAGAAATAAATATGTTAAATAAAAAAAAAATTAGTTTATTATTTAAAAAAAACACAAAGAAAGTACAGTTGAGTACCGGTACCAAATCGATTCAAATGTCAAAGGTACCCATCCTTAGCTGTATCATGATGAGTCATTATTTGATTGCATTGACTGTACTGTATTTGCAGATATGTGTTAGTCTAATTTTATTTTCTGGATAACATTTTGTTTTCCCAAAACTGATTGCATGTCCTTACACCAAGTTTATATCGTTTTGGCAAAGACACAAAGGATTCTCATCTGCAGAAATTCAAAAACSTGAAAATCCATTTCCTTAAATTTGAGATGCTGAATCTAAAGGCACGCATAACAAATGCTTTAAACTGGTAGCAGTTATAMCTAATGTTTCTGTTTTAATAATTGTTTCAGTTGCAAACCAAAAGCGATGAATCAAAGTGCAACTGTGCGGTCCTGCGATCATACATGGCTGTAAAGATTAGCTGGTCTCTCGCTGRGATTTACTCCATGTTTTTCTCTCTGATGTCATTACGGGAAGACCCCATGTGGCTTTAACAACAGGGGCAGAAGCACTGATCTTGGTACTATCGAGATGGTCTCGCTAAGATGTTAGCATGCCTCTTTGAGCCCATCTGTCTTCAGTTAGGTGTTTGTGCTTCTCGGTTGAGGCTGATCTCAGCAGGGGTGACACTCACCACAGAATCCTCTCAAGCTTATGTTCAATTTTATGCATTAATTTACTGTATGAACTTGTTGAACCAAGACTTGTTTCCTTACAGTTCCAGTCAAGCAGACATTCAGAAACATTGTTTAGGTTACGCACCTTGAATTCATAAAATAAGCCAGTCATGCTTTATTATTATTTTTATTATCAACAAGCTTATTGTTTTGTAAATGTTGCCTCAATGCTAGGTAATGCTTTGCTTTGAGCATTGTGCTCATTTGATTTTCTAACTACCAATCTGCTACTTTGATAGGGTGAAAAAAGATAATTGTTTTTTACTTACTTACTTACTTACTTACTTACTTACTTACTTACTTACTTACTTACTTACTTACTTACTTACTTACTTACT